ATCATAGCTTAACTTGGCTTACTGATGAGATCTGCAGCATTGTTTAGGAAATACCTGCAAAATAGTCTATGGGAAATGTGATTTTAAATGGCCAATTTTCTTGCTGATTTAAATGATATTAATCCACCTTGCCAGACACTAAGATTGTCATCTGAGGGAAGCTTGGAGGAGAGCAAAAGGGTGCAGGCCTTTCAGTGCTTGCTTCTAAATTCTGAAATCCGCCCCCCCCCCCCCCGTGCCCCGGAGCTTTTGTATGGGAATAGTTTTTATAATAGGCTTTATATTTTTTGAAGGATTTAACCTTTTGTAAACTGCCCAGAGAATGTAAGAAATAAACAAATGTCCCAAGTGGACCAGTAATGACTCAAAACCCCATGGAAGGCCTACCAAATACTTTGAAAATTGCAGATACAAAGGAAAAACTATACCTTGTTCTCACTCTGACCTGCTCCTGCCCTTTGAAATCCAAACTGACAATTTTGGTAAACAAACCTGAGCAATTAAGGGGTCATTAGCATAACGAAGGCTAACAAAGCACTGTTTCAATGACTATTATATTCACAGCTTAATACAGTCAACATTGGCTTTGGTTTGATTTTGTCCTGATGCCAGGTTTTCTGTCCAACAACCCATAAGCATTCTAACACATAATGCTTCCAACTGTTCTTCATACAGTTGGCTTGTGATACAAACATGAAACCCAGGTTGGCCAGAATTCTCATTTGGAAATGCAAATGTGTTTCTTTCATTTTCTGTTCCAGGTTAACACTCCCATAAATGGTTCAAGAGGCTCTCCAGAGAATCTAAGTTTCATTTACAAAACCACCCTCAGGCCACAGCATGCAAGTAGGACCAGTGTGAAAAAGCACCCAATCTTCAAAGGTTAAGCTGGTCTTTTAATTGCTGCCAAAACTGTGTGTGAGAACTTTCTAGGGGGAATCCACCTGCAGTGCTCTCTAGTAGCGATACAAACCTGTAAACAACACAAGTCCTTTGGAGGAAGCATAGATCATGCTGATCAGACCCAAGCCATAGTTTTACTCCTGTGGGAAACATTACCCTTCTTGTTTTCGAGATGTCAAACAGAAGGTACAGGAGGGCTGTTGGCAATAACTCTGCTGCGAGCAACCGAATTGCTCACAGAAAAAAATGGTTGGGAAAAGTTCCAAATTGTGGAGCAAATCTGATAAGCTTTCCAGGTTCTCCCTCCCTCCCTTCCTCTCTCAATCCCTCTCTGACACACACATACACACACACACTCACACATGCGGCATATATATACACATCACCTCCTGATACAGCTACATCAAGGTTTATGCCCAAGTGAGGTCAACTGCAAAGGAATGGAACAAGTTATAAAATCACCATGCAAAATGGAATGAGCATTCATATCGTTAGCCTTTGTGCCTGAGGAAACCACAATGAATGGAAGGAATCCTTCAGTAAACGTTATTCTCCTTGGGTCAGACTGAAAATATCAAACGGAGGTGACGAGAACCCACAGCTTGTGTAAGAGCATTTTAGAGCTTTACAGAAACACAGTCCATTCAGCTAGAACAGAGGTAGGCCATGTCAAGGGGTCGGGGGGCCACCCTCCACTGCCACCAAACTTACCACTAAACTTGTCATGGCCATGATGGCAGCCACAACAGCAAACACTTCTGGTGTGTGAGGTGTGTGTGCTTTGTGTACCAACAGAATCACACTTCTAAAAGACTTGCCACAGTGTAATTCTGCTAGCTAACAAGCCATGCACACTCTGTACAGCCTGTTCTAATGCGACTGTGGCAGCTGCTGCCATAGTTTCATTGGCCGTAGTGGAGACAAGGAGAAAGGAGCCTGCAAAAATGGCTGGGGAAATGCAAATTTTCCACATGTTGCTCAGCCCTGAATTGGAGCCTGGCAAGGAAAGAATAATTCATTTCCAGGTCAAGGCTAACTCCATAGGTCCTAGCATTTTGTCTTTGTCATGACTGCTCTCTCATTCAAACCAGAGCTTGCTATAAGTCATCAGAGTGCCTGATCAGCAGAGTCACCCTTGGAATGGTTGGGCCAATTTCCGTAGGGAAGGAAATGCAGAGATTAGGCAGTAGCAAGAAGCCTCCTGCTGGGCTGCCCCATAGATAGGTGTGGATGGAGCTATACATATAAACCCTGAGTAGTACCTTGAGCCATCATGCTTCGGGGATTCTAACCCCTCACCCTCTGAAGGGGTGCTGGACTCAGTAGAAGAAGACTCAGCTATGGAAATGCTTCTATCTCCCAAGAACCAAATTCTCCAGAGGGTGATGTCCCTGCATCCAGCTGATGCTCCATTGATGTCCTCAGACTTGGAGGCCTTGGGCCATGAAGAGACTAGCGTGCCTTGACAATTCCTAAGCTCCCACAGTCTAACTAACTTAGAGGCCAGCCACCTCCCATTTAAGCCTGTCTTACACTAATCTTTGCTGGAGCAACAGACAAACCAACCTGTCTTACCCCACTGAGAGCTTTCTGTACTTCTAATATCATTTTGGTTTTGTTTCCTAAGAAATGTGGTTCTTACTCATGATCCGATCTCTAGCAGAACCTTACAGCCCAAGCAGATACATCTCAGAGTAGCTCCAGACCTCATGGCCTGAGATGGTGCCCCTTATCACCTGCCACCCCCTTGATTACTGAACTCTTCAGTTCATACAAAATACCATATGATGTGAATATACTGGTCTGAACTACTCCAGACTAGAGTTTAAGGAGAACATGCCTGAACACTCCCATTGTATGAAAAAATACCCTTGCATGCACACACAGCAAACGTCAGGGACAAGAATTCCAGCCTAGCCTTTGTCCTGTTGCTGTTTTGCATGTACAGGTCTTTTTTTTCATCATGAGGAAGCATTCAATGATGCAATTACCCACCTGCTGTCCAAAGAGGTCCAAGCCAGGAAGAGTGTTGCTACCTCCACGGCCATTTGTGTGAAGTAGGTCTAGATCAATGCAATTAAAAACAACCACTGCCACACAATTTAGGATGCCAAGTTTTAATAAATGAAACTAGTTTCCTTTCCTTTCTTTTTAAATGTAATTTTTTTCTGAAGAGTTAGAAAATATCCTAACTGAGGATATGATTAATTTTAATTGCAGATGCTTTCAGAGACAGTCTTGTGGGAGTCGAGAGGTGTGCCAAAAGAAGACGTAGGAAGTATATTTGTCTGCAGATCTCAGAAGTACTTTCTCATATAAAAGCATTTATAAATTATATATAGAGATTGTTGGGCAGGCTGCAAAACAGACTGCCTTGAACTCTGGAAGAGGTACATGGATAGGGTACATTCTGGCAGCAAATTAAGGTGCTACTATTCTGCTGTACATTTTTAACCCTAAACGTTCAACTAGGGTGCATACAGAATATACCTGGGAGCAAAGTATTTATCCCTTCTTCTGCTAAGAATGTAAGAAGAGCTCTGCTGGAATACTATCTTGCATGTAATGAAAGTTCAGTCCAGGTAGTTCTACATCCTGTCCATCTCAGGTGCCCCTCAAGATAGTCAGCAGCTGTCTCTCCACTTCATTATCATATTCTATTGCTATCACAGGCTGTCTCAATCACATAAAAGGCATATTTTGGAATTTTTACAACCAATGCGAGGATAGCTGAATTCACCCATTATTAAAGCATGTTCTCCTGTGTGGAAGATGGGAGGTTACTTTCCTGATTTCTTTCTCCATCTCAAAACTAGGCTGAGATGCCAATATCTCCCCAATACCACAGTCCTTTTAGGTCCTGCATTTCTACTAGGGATGGCATAACATACAATATTCAAGTTCATGGAGGGTTTCCAAATTCTTCCCTGAAGCTCATTGCTTGCATTTCCAAAAGGGAATACAGTAAGTCCCCCATATCTGCAGGGAATAGGTTCCAAGTCCCCACGCAGAAGCCTGAAGCCATGGATAGTAGTAAACACTATACAGTTGGTCCTCCACATTTGCTGGGGAAACTCGACTTTTGCAGGCTTAACTTTCGCAGATTTGATTATTTGTGAGTTTGCCACCAATAATTAAATGGGAACTTGTTTGGAGTTCTGCAGCCTACTCTGGAAAATTGTCATCATCATAGAAGAAAGGAAACAAAAGGGGAAAGAGGGAGGGCTTCCAAAGCATGCCTTTCTTGCCCTGCCCATCTAGAAAGGGAAATCCCTCCAGCATTTCCTTGGTGCAAATGATTTGTGGTGGGGGTAGAGATAATCGAGGTTTCTCCACTTTCACAGGTTTTTCCTGTGCTCCTAACCCCTGCGAATATGGAGGGCCAACAGAGATTTTACTGTATCTTTTTTTTAAATAAAATTGAGAAAATGTGCATTCTTCTATTGGAAAAAAATAGCAGTTCTAAACTAAGCACTTTTTCTCAATTAAAAATATGCATTTTCTTGAACAAAATGTATATTTCTCATCTGATCTATGCAAATATGAGCCTCCAAAAATACACATTTTCAGCAATGAATATATGCAGAGGTACACAAGATTGTGCAAATGCACAATGTTGAACATGAATAAAAGTTCAGGAAATGGCAAATATTTCCTTTGAAATGCATTCCTGCTCATTATATTCAGCACTGTGGATGAGGCATGCTCACATGATTTTTGAAGAGGAACTAGATTCTTTTACCTCCCTAAAAGTGAATCTATAGAGTGAAGCTATAGATGTGTTTGTTACTCTGTTTCAGATTCTCTGTACTCGCTGCCCCTTTGATCTACTTGGCTGTTTCCAGGAGTTTTATATCCACAGATGATGAGTATATCGACATTCTTTTCAAGTCAGAAAGTATTCCAGTTCAGCCATCTCCATAACCATTCAGATATATACCTATGACAAATTTGTTTCAACACACTGAGAAGGCATATTTACGACATAAGCTGTGTTCTTATGTCACAGTGCCTTACCAAGCAAAATTCTCCAGGAGGGTACATGCCCTGCCATTGGGGTTCAAGTCTAAAAACAGTTTAAGCCATTTCAATCTTACTCGAAAAACCTTTTCCACTCGTGCGATCCCCTTCCCAAAGATGGTCCCAAGCTGGTCGCCTATGCCAGCTAGCAGAAAGCCAAACAGTGGAATCCCAAAGATGGCATACAAAATACAGAATATTTTTCCACCTTCTGTGCTTGGGGCAATGTTTCCATACCCTGTTGAAATAGAGAGACAGAGAGAGAAAAAGAGAAAGAAACATCATTGCAATCTCTCATTTCTGAAGATGCACTGAAAAAAGGAGAGAAGCGAAACAGTAACCCAGTTATTAAAAAAAGGAAGAACTTCCTTCTGTGTTCACATGTCCCACACCTCAGGCCTGTGTCATATATAGAATGTATGGAAACTCACTTGCCATGTGGAGCTGGAATACAGTAAAAAGGTCCAAGAACAATATTGCTACTGCTTTACTTTGAGTGATACAACTGAGGAATCCTAATTTGAGTATTGAAATGACAAGTGTTCGATTTGATGCCAAGCCCACCAAGCCCATAAGCAAAACTTACTTGTTGTTATTTCCTTTTTCTAACATTTTGTTGAAATGTTATATTTGTGGATAAGCATTTTAAACATGTTGACGATGTACAGCATATGAAGACAAAAACTTTTACTGAAATAAACAAAAGCAGTGGAGAAATTACTGACAAAGGAAAATGGAGATATGGCTAAGACTTCCTGCCATGAAATACTGGCATTTGAGTCATGCAGAGATGTTTCTAGCACATTTAGAGATTGACTTGAGCTAGCAACCTAAATGGCTAGAGTCACCAGACACCAAGGAATGAAGCAATGCCATCATGCCATAAAGAAAAAGTGATGCACCGAAAGAAACCCACTAGACACAATGTGAATATCCAGAAGGAGCTTCAACTAATACTATTTATATTCTGCTGTCTTATTTTGATGGTGTGGTTTCAAGTATTCCCAATTTATTATATTTATATCCTGCATTTGCCTGCAAGGAACCCAAGATGACTCACATAACCCTCCTTTTCATTTTATCCCCATGAGAGTTCCATAAGGGAGGTTAGGCCAAGAGCCAGGGATTGAACTAAAATCACCCAGTGTGCTTTGGGGCTGAGTAGTCTGCACTCAGGCTTTTCATGTTCTAGTCCAACACTCTAACCACTACACCACATCGTCACCGCTACTGTTATTATAATAAAGGTTTTACTTAGAATTGTCCCTACAATGGTAAAGCTACATTGAATGCCATTTTCTTAGCAGAGAGACAAGGTACAAATCAAATACATTTAAAAAAAGCTTGCTCACCTGTGCTACACATTTTCAAGCACTACTTTTTCAGACCAGCAGTCATATTTTTAGTTTTTTCATTAAAAAAAACTCTTCAATTTACACCAAAAAATGTAATATGTGGGAAGTCCCCATGACTGCTTTGGTTTACATGTAATTGCTTTTTGTCACAATGAGGGAAGCTGACTAAGCAATAATGGAGTGTTTGGTGCCCTAAACTTTCCAATATTTTTTTTAGCAATGCCCATATATGATTTAAGAAAATTGGTGCTGAATCAGTCCAAGGCCCATCTTGTACTGCATTCTGTTAACACAGTGGTCAACCACAAGAAACACACACACAGAACCTGAACTCTTCTACCCATGTTTCCCAGCAACTTGTGTACATAAGCATTCTCCCTCTGATTTTGGAGGCAGCATAGCTTGTCAAATCTAAAGGCTACTAATACCCTTCCTCTTCATGAATTTGTTCAGTCCCTCTTTAAAGTTTTCCCAATTGGTGGCCATCACTACATCTTCTGGAAGTAAATTCCAGAGTTAGCTGCTACCATCCAAACACTTTCTGTGGGTGAGAAGAAAAGTTAGCAAATTCTTTAAGCAAGAGTAATAGAAATGTGTACAAAGACCCATAACTGTTTTCTGCACAGAAATAACACAGTGGAACATTTGTGCTAATAGAAGGAATATTGTGCTAATAGCTATTGCGGTTTTCCTTTCTCACCGCACGGTAATTCCTCTGCAGTAGCCACTGAAATCTACATAACCCCCATTAGCACTATATGCAAAGTGTATTATCCCTACCTGAGTAAAAATGAAGTATTCAATAATAATAATTATAAAGGCAATAATAGTAATAATGAGTAATAATGAAGTATGCAGTTAGTGTGGCATCTTGTGGTTTCAGTTGCCAACACATCTCTTTACTTAAGTCTGTTCTAGTTAAATGGATAAGAACAGAACAACCACCAAAAAAGTGTAGGGAGCGGGGGAGAAAATTGCTTGGTTAGCAATTTAATGCAACTTTACCTAATCACAGTTCCAAAACCAATACGCAAGAGAAATACAGTTCTCCAATTTAACAGTGCAATTCTCTAACCAAAAAAAAGTGAACAGAAATGTATATATCAGTGGAAATGGCATACACAAATGTATTATATTAGGAGGAAATGGCTTAAAATGCATAAAGTGGGATAAAATGTGTCTAAAAAGCCATTTATTAGGATACAAAAATCCATAAAATATTTTTGTCATGCTTTAAAAAATTGCAAAGCTAAGGCCAAAAGTAAGTTAAGACTGCAAAAGTGTGAAACTAACCTTTACAGATGGCTCCATCCTTACAGAAAAGACTTCCAAGAGTATTTCCAGATGGATTCCCCCCTCCCCCGTGCCCCATAATAGCTTCAAAAAAGAAGCAGAACAACAGGTATGTTTTGAAAGTGCCATCCGATTAATGGGTTGGTGCTACCAGAACTGGTTTTGTGTGATCCTTTCCGTGCAGCCCCCTTGCTCCTTCTGGTTTACTTGTATAACAATGACCAGCACATTGTTCAGCGGGCCTTATGCAGGCCTTGTTGTGGGTGTTGGGCTCACTGATCCTACAATTACAAACCCTCTGCACTGACAGCAACCCAAGTAAATGGTGCAATGAAGAGCCCTACAAATAATCTCACCTTCAGTGTATCGTTGGCCTGCACTGTTTTATATACCTGCTATAATCAAGGTCCCTTCAAACCACTAAAACCTTTGCCAATGACTTTAGTATTGTATTTGTCATGGAACTGGCTATAAAAGAACCCAATTTAGCTTTCTTTTGGTCCCCTCTCATAGCACAGGAAACACACTGAGTGTACTCAGGCCCTACTGAGCCTCCCTGGGAGGTAAAATGGCAAGCTATGCTTGCTCGACCCGTCTTCCCACAAAAGCCACTGCCGATGCCACCCGTGCTGCTGCCTCCTGTGGTGGGTGTGCAGACTGCCTCCTTCAAAACAGAAGGAACATCTAAGAAACAGATGCTGGTTTAGATATGCCTATAGCTAGGACCAATGGAGCTATTCTTACACCTGTGTAGCAAGCATTCTCTTCCAAAACATGGGCAGCTTAGTCATGATGACCATTCCTACTGGCTGGAAGGACTCCAGCTTCTTCCTTCAAACGTAGTCATCAATGTATTTATTTATTAGACATATTTTCTGCCATCTTGGCCCAAGGGTGTTCTAAGCGCCCTCTAAGCATCATTCACTGGCAGAGATAGAAACAGAGCGAGTCAGAAGGGGGCTCCCAGGCCATCTAGTCTGACCCCTGGCTCCAGCCGGCTCCCCTCACGACATGCCCACCATGTGCATGTCTAGCCTATCCTTGAACACCCTCACTGATGGGGCCTCAACCACCTCCCGTGGAAGCCCATTCCATACACATGGGGTCCTAACTGTCAGGAAGTGCTTCCTGTCATCTAATTTGAACCTGGGTTCCCTGCGCTTTGCTCTGTTGGAGCGTGTCCTGCCCTCCTCTGCAGGGGAGAACAGGCACCCACCTATAATATAATATAGTCAATGCAAATCTCTCTATTTGGAGAGTTGGTTTGTTTCAAGAGACAGTCCCTTCTTCTGCTGCTGCTTCAAGCAGTGCTGGTCAAGGCTAGGAAATATGCCAGGGTAGCAAACAACAAGCCTTTCTCAAAAAAGACTCAAGGACACTTACAAGAAGATTAAATCTCACACAATTTAAAACACCCAAACCACTTAACCACTAAAATACCATTACCCTATAAGACAAATACAGCATCAGTGATAACTAGGGGAAAAATCAAATTCTTTCATCTCATTTCTATACTGCCCAATATCCAAAGCTCTCTGGGCAGTTTACAATATCTAAAAACATTTAAAATACAACAGCAGAAAAACCACTGACACACAAATGCAAAAACAGAGCAAAACATATGCACGTTCTGAAGCAATTTTAAACAATCAATCATTTTAAAATCCAGGCCTGATGCATGCATAGCCTGTCATATGCTATCCAATGCCTAGAAATACAAGAAAGGCAACCGCAGGGTGAAAAGATCGCATGTTGGCACCAGTCAGGCCTAAGTGAGAGTTCCACAAAAGGAGGCCACCAACAAAAAGGCACTCTCCTTTTTTGCCATCTTATACGCCTTCTTCAGAGAAGGCATGTGGAGAAGGGTCTCAGAATCTTATCATAGAATATGGGGTGGTTCAAACTACAATGGGCACTCCACCAAGCACTGGGGTCCCAAGCCTTGTAAGGCTATACAGAACAATGCAGAACCATGAAATGGGCTAATCTCCCAATGAATAAGCTGCCCATTTCAAGGGAGAACTTGGAATGCTCCCAGTTAGCAAATTTAACATTCTGTGAGACATATGTCATCTGTTCATACATTGTGTGGAACACGGCAGAGCCGTGGAGCACACTGTTTCCTAACAACACAAATATGAAGTAGTGATCAGTGGCTCCATTCAAGATCCACCACGAGTACGGACTACTACCAAGCTAAAGCTCCAGGATCAACATGGTACGAACACACCTAAAACTGCCCATCCTTGCCATAAAAAGCACTTACCGCTAGGCCATCCTCTGGCCCACAATTGTAATGGAATTCACAGCAGCTCAGAATTAAGTCACCTTTAAAGCCTACAGCAGCCACCATCCCCACTATTTCTTCCTGCAGATGGATGCCTGATGAAACCTGGCCTTTGATTACTCAGCATGGCAGGGTGCGAAAAGCTTGCTAAAGGGAAGTCTGAAAAGCCCTGCTTCAGCATTCATTTGCTGGTGCTGTACATGGACTCCAAATTGGCTGCTGGCAGAAGAATGACTAACTTGGCTAATCTCATTTTCAGGCTGGAGCTCTGAATTACCTTGGCTCTTTATCACACATCACACCTAGTGAAATTTCCATTTCTTACAGTTGGTTTATTCTCAGGCTTTTTAGCCCGTCTTGCAGTTTAATCTTTTTAAGGCTTATTTTCATGCATTGCTAATAGACTTTAGAAAGAAGGGGGGTTTCTTCTACAGAATTCTTTTCCCTCTTTTTCAGATTAAAACAACACTAGTACAGTCAGGAGAGGGATAACTGCAGGTTTTAATCTTCTGGACTGTAGAACTGCCACACAAAAAATTCAGTTTCATTTCGGTTTTTAGCCAGTTTTCTGCATCACTTGGTAGTTTAAGCAGCTGCTTTTAAAATGTTACTATTTCAAAAATCTTTTGCTTCAAACTGTCCATATGGAAAGACTTGGCAAACCATGTTTCAAAAAAAGAAACCAAAATTTAAGTAGCTCCTTAGTTGTGCCTGCAAATGAAAAATAGGAACAAGCTTTATCTTTGTGGCTGGGCACATAAAAAACTCTCACTTTGCACACGAAAGAGAGTTTTCTGTGTGTGTTAACAGAAGCGGACCTTATTAACATTTTAAAAGCATAACACAGGTAGCCAAGCAGATGGCTGTCTGTTGTGGGTTAATTTACCAGAGAGGCGTTATGAGGCATGCCAGGTGGCATAATGGATGTGAGAGTCACAGCTAGGGTTTGCCATGGCTTGGCTTGTCATCTGAACCTGGGCAGCAGGGGTTATTTAAGGCTTAAACAATCCCCACATAGCCTAGGGGCTGTTTGAGGATTTTGCAAAGGTTGTTCAACCCTCAAATAATCCTGGTTGCCTGGGTTCAGATGACAGAACAAGCCACAGCAATCCCTCCCAGGACTTAAGTATTAATAATGGCAGCCAGACACAGTACCGTTTCTCCCAATGAAGCCATGATGGGCTGCCATGCCATGCAAACTTGGGCACTATTTCTAGGCTGGCTGGGGCAGATTTGCCCTGTCCCCAAGATTCTAGCCATTCATTTTATTGATCGATTTATGAGATTATTTGTAGGCTGATTTTAGAGGAAACCCTCCCAAGGCAGCAAACAAGGCATGCTGTAATGTTGCTGTTCTGCAGTTTTAGGTGTGGAACATGAACATACAGGATTGAATCTGATGTCAGTCCCACCCATTGAAATAAATGGAACATAACCATGATGAATCTCAGCTCCATTCATTTCAAAGTGTCTACACTAATTAAGAGCAACACTGGATCCAGCCTGTGTAATGTATTTGCAGCTCACCAATGTCCATGTTCCTACTTATGAATTAATCCCAATGATAAATATCAATAATGATCGCTCTAATTTTTAGTTAAACTTGCTGTTTATAGCTTGGTAATATATATAAACTTGACTTCACCTCCCTCTTTAGATGGAAAGGGCCATATCTCAATGGCTCAGCAGAGACTCTGCATGCAGGTGGACTCACATTCAGTCTTCAGGTAGGGCTGGAAAAGCTCTTTCCTGAAACACAGAAAAGCTACTGCCAGTCGCAGCTGATAATACTGACTGGACCAGTGGCCTTACTAAGGCAGTTTCCTACGCACCTATATAAGATGTTAGAGCATCTCAGGACAGAAACTCAAGAGTAGAAGCAGTGTGCCATGGTGGTTAGAGTGTCAGACTGAGGATCACGAGATCTGGGTTCTAGTTCCCACTCAGCCATGAAGCTCAGTGGATGATTTAGGCCAGTTGCTGATTCTTTGCTTATCATACCTCACAGGGTTCTCATGAGTGTAAAATGGAGACGAAGAAGAGGGTGTTACGTAAGTAACTTTGAGCTCCTTGCAGGAAGAAAAATTGGAATACAAGTTAAAAAATACATTGCATGGGAACCACCCATTAGCAATAGGAGGGGTATCCATTTTTGCCAATTCTTACTTTATCCCCTAAATTTCTCCTCTGGATGGTTGGGGATCCTTCTGGAATACTGTGGCAAAAGAAAGAACCAGCTGCAACAAAAGCAAAAACAGCTCCTCCTCCACTCCATCACTGATACCATCCTTTGGCTCAGACTTTTCTGTGAATAGAAAAGCCCGTTGAATTCTTCTAGTATCCTAATGTGATAGCATTATTTTCTAACTATTAATCTTCTAAGGAAAAAAGAAAGCATTCATAGCAGCAGACAATTTATAACAGGGAGGATTGGGAAAATCAATTTACATTGGGTTTTATTGCTTCATTATCCATTGTGTTGTGTTTATACCCCTCCCCCCCCAACCCTTTTCATTAAAAATAAGAAGAAATGGGAAGTGTAGTTACAGTACTGGGATCACCAAAGTTCAAATAATTTTACTGCTGGCTCCATTAAAACCCATTTCATTTCAGTGGTTTGTAGCTTGGCAATAAAAATGCACCCTCACACTACAAATAGGCACACATGTACATAGATCAGACCAGGAATCGATTACTCAACTCGAGAAAGCAAATTACGTCTTTTGAAAAGACACTTTCTAGATTACATCTTTCATATGCACTGCAAAGCTTGTAGAGTTTTTTCCTTCTTCTTAAGTGGTTCAGCAATGTAGTATTTTGTACTGTTAGATCCCACAGGGAAGAACCACAGCTTAGCAGCAGAGTGCATGCTTTGCCTGCAAAGTATCTCAGGTTCCATCTCCAGGTATGATGCTTGTCTGAACCATGGAGAGCCACTGCTGGGCAGTGAAGACAATACAGATGCAGACAGACCAATGGTCTGACTTGGTATAAGGCAACATCTCATATCCTACAGCAACCTTCCCCAACATGGTCTTCTCCAGTTAGGTTGGACTACACCATCAAAGCTCACTTGCAAGGACAATGGCTATTTTAACTTGTAGGCCAGTAGATCTGGAGGGCAGCGGGCTGGGGAGGCTTTCCAGAATGGAATGATTCCCACATTGCAATAAGCCAATTTGAAGATAAACTACAGTGGGTTGGTTGCTCACTTGCTAATCCAGGTTAATCCCAAGAGACAATGATTGCAACTGCACACACAGGAAACCAACATAGATGGCATATAAAGCAACATGTTCACTTTTACTGGAAGCCCTGCTGTCTGTTGGAGATTCCACTGCACGCATGCAATGTGCAAAGAAGGCTGCAGACATGTACACATTCACACCTTGATTCAGAGGCTCAGCTTCCTAGGCACATCAAGCCCAGTTATTTTGAAATGACTGTTAATAGGCACTCATTCATCAGATACTTGATATGTCGCCTTCATTCAACTATCAACCAGTAGCACAGAGCCGAAGCAGGGCATACTATCTGTGCTAATTCCACTAGTACAACTCCAGAAAGGTGAAAGCTTACATTAGGATCTGTGCTGGTCTACATCTGTTGATATCAGTCCAGCATATACATTACTGAATGCAGAATGTAGGATGAGAGAGTTCCAGCTCTCCAGAGAACTGCCCTTGGCTATCTTTCCGAAAGGTGATGAATTGCATTTGACACTGTGGTTTTCAGTCTGTACAACTATCTTTAAATCTGTGATAAATACGTACAGTGGCGATGGCTACTCCAGCTGCAAAAAAACACTGCAGTTTTCAGCGAACTGGATGCAGACGTGGCCAGAGCAGAGCTCTTCAAATCAATGGGAAATGCTAACGATGACTAACTTCAGTCTGATACATTTTGACAGGTCTGCTCAATTTATTTATTTATTTATTTATTTATTTATTTATTTATTTATTTATTTGATTGATTTGTATCCTGCCTTTCTACTGACGATGGCACTTAAGATGGTGTCTGGATCCTACCCAATGTAGTAATCAATTTTAAAAAAAATGTCCCCTGAGCATTCCAGGCAAATGCTGAAATTGTTTGGGAAATTTGGACATTTAACAGGCCCGATTTCCCCATTATTACCACCCCATCTTGGACCCTAAGAAAGAAAGCTTACCAATGCCCAAGGATAGAAAGCAATGGAGACATCTTTTCTCCTGCTTCCTCCAGACATCTTTCTAAACTGAAGATGCAGGTAGGGTTGCTACACTGGCATCATCTTTTTCTGCTTGTGATTGTGTGGGTTGAGGTGCAACTGAGGTGAGCAGAAGGTGGATCAGATCTACTGGCAGATCTTTGAATGATTTGCAACAGATTGGCAAGGATTTCAGGCAACAGTAAAATAACATAGCAATAATCCACCTAAATTGGGCTATTGAAATGAAGAGAGCTTGGAGTAACGTTTTTGTGACAGGCCTGTGAGTTACATTAGTTTTGAAACTGTAAAGAACTACTAGGCCTGGAATGTGCCCAGAGGATACTCGTCCTTTAATTCTAAGTGCATTCCTTTTACATCTGACTCTACTTGGAAGATCTCCAGTTTCCAGTAAAAAAAAACACAAATGTGGATCCAACAATCCTAAAGGCTGTCCACCACTGAACTACAACACTCATGATCACCATCAGAAAATGTTAACATCTTCCATTTAGAAATAAGCCCAGGTTCTGCATTTTAGGGAACCGTTTCAAAGGCTGTGGGTGCCCCATCTTGCCCCCCCTGAAAAGATGAGCTTTTCTCCTTGGAGATCAAGGTTGGCAGTTTAGAGGTGCTCCCACATATGTACAGTCCAAGTGGTACAATTTGGTCAATGTTGCAGAAAGTGAGAAAGTCAATGCAAGCTCCTATATTCAATTTTCTCATTACATTCCTTAGAAAGTGAGAAAGTCACTTTCTTAAAAGTTTTTCAGTCACTGCTGTCAGTCTAAATTCCATATAAATATATACCTATAGTAGTGATGACAGTTCCAGCGAAGAAAAAGGCACTTCCAAGGTCCCAGTGGCTGCTGCTGTTGGAAGAGTCTCCTACAGGATTGACTCCCGCATTGGTGGCATTAATGACCCGCTGAAAAGAAATGGGTAGTCAGATTAGCCAGCAAAATACCTTGTTCTCAAACACTGGACAGCTGGAGATGAGTGTCAACTGAACTGTAGGAACACTTGGAGCTGCATTGTTCCAGGTCAGACCAGTTATACATCTAATCCACTATTGCCCATTCTCCAAGCTCTTACGCAAAGGTCTTTTCCAACACCTGCTTCCTGATCTGATTGCTACCTGTAAAGCAGGTGTTAGTCTACCAATGAGCTTCAGCTATCTCCCTAGTTTGTTTTCCAAACAGCTAGTGAGGACAGAATGGCCTAGCAGAAAGGGCAACTTCAGAAAATGCAACCATGTCCAAGAACCACCAACATGTACCATGTGCATATGGTACCTCTCAAGTAGTCCAAGCACTTCCTCTATATTTACTTACTGTAAATGTATTTACAGTAAGTAATTTACTTGCTGTAAATTTACTTACTTCCTCTATATTAACTTTCTTACTGGTTTAAGGGGTAGCCCATAATCCACTGAACCACCATGCCAAGAAGATTAAAATTAACAACTTATCTTCTCATTAATATGCAATCTGCTCTGTATTGTTTTCAACGGTTAATATTTTAACATTCTATTTTTTTCATGGACTATATTATCATGACTTTTTGTGTATCATTTAAGTTTTGGTATGATATGAGCCCCTAAAAATTGGCATGGAGAAAATGAGATGTGTAGTGAGTGTGTTTGCACAGAAGCAGAAGACCACCTGAGGGACAGATAGCAGGGAGTGCCAAGTCTACTAGGCACTGCCATTGAGAAGACCCACTCCTATATTCCAGGAAAGCACCACTCCGGTGCTGATGGGATTCCTTGGAAACCTCCATCAAAGATTTCAATAGAAGGGGCAGTTCATGTGGAAGAAGTAGGTAGCCACGTGTCCTACTTCCAAAGTAGGACACATGGCCAAGTTGAAGCCCCAAAGAAACCCAGGCTGGAAACGCAGGGACTGTGAAGGATCCTTCCAGCCACTAGCACATGGACAGCAGCCTCAGCAGACAAACAGGTCACCTGGTCACACATTTTCCTACAATATTATGCAATGTATTTCTAATTAGAATAATTTCTTCTACACTTGCATCCATACCTGCAAATCAACAGATTTGAATTTTATACAAATTTGTTCTTTTGGAGAGGTATTTTTAAATGGATTCTGATTCTTCTTGTTTGGCAGTGCATGAATGGCCATCCTAGGGAGAAGACATTCCTTTTGGTATCCCAGTCCAATATAAAAATGTACACAGCGAGATATCGTCAAAACGTAATGTCCCCAAAACTGAGATCATCAAATTAAGCAGGAGAAAAGAGGAGATAGAAGGGAAAGGCATGTGACTGTCTAATTTGCAAGGAAAGGGGGTGAGAGGGAAACTCCTGTTTCCATCTGAAGCTGGGAGTGCAGCAAGCATGTGTTTGTTTATTCAACAGAGTGTAAATCAGCTTAATTGACAGCCAGACGCACCAGGCAGGCCATGACATGCTGCCAGCTCAGGTGGTGTCACTTATGCTGGGAGACACGCTGACTTCTCTCTCCTCCGGAAGCTGCACCCCGAGGCTTGACCCATAAAGCTAGAACTACAGCGAGGTTCAGGCAGACTAACACATTTGCTCAGCCAAAGGTGCACAATCCACCTTCGGGAACATGCTGCTGAACAGAACTGCGCCACAGAGACAGGCTCTCTGGGCATTTCTCTTGTAACTTGCCCATGGCAGCTCAGTCTTTGTCAGCAATTACTTTTTTCTTCATGAATTTTGAGTGGCTTCATGTCTTTCTCTATGCAACAGCTCCATTAAGGCTTCTTCTTTATTTACTGCTCGAAAAAAGAATGCAGATGGGAGAAAGTTGTCTCAGAACTGGAAATCTCCATAGGATCTTTGGGGAGGGAGGAACCTAGTGAAAAGTACTAAGTAAGAATCTAGAAAGACAAAACAGATGTTCAGTTAGGTGATTAGCAAGTTTTTTTCCTCCCCAGACCAGATTATTTCTAAGAAATTGTGTATAAGCTTGCCTCTTCAGGATACTTCTTTCTGAACTTCTTTAATTCTGTATAAGAAAAATATTAGGCCTGAATGGGTCCAGAAAAGTGCTTGACTGTCTATAATGTAAATACAGACAATACAACATCTGTAAATCCAAAGAAGACTCAAATATTGACACTTTCATTGCTAATAGACTCCTGGCTAATCCATCAAAATTATGTCTTAACATGAAGAACATAAGGTTTGGTCATTGACTGGAGGGTTTAGAACAAGCTGGCTGGTATTGTAGAACAACAAATATACTTCTGGACATCAAAACTGGGGATCACCTAAAATGTATGACTTTTTTCTTTTGCTAAAAGGTTAGAAACAAGTACATTGTACGTAAGAACACATAATGGGTGGCTTCCAAGCACAGGAAGCCAGTGTGGTGAAGTGGTTAAGAGTACAGAACTGGGACTCAGGAGATCTGGGCACTAATGCTCACACAGCCATGAAGCCAGCTGGGTGACTTTGGATCAGTCACAGACTTTCAGCCCAACTTACCTCACGGGGTTACTGTGTGAGGATTGGGAGGAAGATGATAATTATGTAAGCAGCCTTGTGTTCCTTGAAAAAAAAGAAACCCACTTGGATACAAATAAATAAATAATGCTAAGTCAGGACACTGGTTCAGCTAGCTGAGTATTGTATACACCAAGCATGGAGAGACCTTTTCAGCCTGAGAGCTGAATTCCAATTTGCCCACTTTCTATCTGCAGCTAAAATGTGATTATTATTGATTTTAACCCCACTCATAAGTATTCAGGACAAGAGTTCTACGTGTCTAAGCAGGCCTGAATCACTCTGCAGCACTTACAAATAGCATCCCAAATATGTAATAAAAATATCAACCGCTGCATGCCTACTCAAAAGTAAGCATGAACAATATGTCTGCTCAGAAGTAAGCAGGACAAACTCCACATGTCTATGCACAAGAAAGCAGGACAAGCCTCAGAAGGAGCAGTGCTGAATCATGAAGCAGCTTCCTTCCCAGGTGCTGCTCATTGACACCTGTATGGAAAAGTTTTTATCTAAGAGCCTTTCTGTGCTGAAAGAGAGTGAAGGGCTTGGGGAAGAAGCTGGTAGGCTAAATGAGGAAACCCTGAGCATTGTATTGAACCCCTTACATGGAGTTCACCCATACCAGGTCTATGTGATTGGAGGAGACTCTTTTAAGGTTTCAGACATGAGTCTTTCCCAGCCTGCCCCCAAGATGCTAAGGACTGAAGCTGAGATCTTCGGTGTATAAACCATATTTTCTACCACTGTGCTATGGATGTCTCAAAGTCAGACCACTTCATTCAACACAAGTCTCATTCCTCTGCATTCACCCCAGTTCCTATCTGCAAGCACACACTTCCTTCCATTTAATAATCAAAATCCCAATCAGTCTTCCCTTGCCTTGATTTAAAAACTCAGAAAACCCAAAACTAACTTTCTAAAAAGCCAAGTACTTTTAAAGAAACCAATACAAAGCATGAAAGACACATTTGCAACTATGAAATGAGCATGAATTTGGTCCCATTTGATGATTTCCTTTTAATGCAAACTTCTAGAACCTTCCAGAATGTATGAGTAACAAAAGATAGAGATGGTAATCTCTCTTCATGCAATGACTCTTGCCAAAGACAGACAATGGACAGTGACTACAAACACTGAAGGAATCTACATTTATTCTACAGTATTTAAATTATTTGGTAAATCACCACTTTCCCTGCTTTGAGGGGATCACCTTGCAAAGCACATCATTTAAGTTCCCATCTTATGCACTAAAACCACTGTCTTCATTAGAAATGAATTAGCTTCCAGCCACACACGGTCCGAACATCTTTTAAAGAGTGAGTGAACAGAGGCCTCCAGGAATCCTGGCCAATGGTTGTCATGAGGCATATTGAACACAAAAAGGGATATTCCATTGTGGCCAATTAAGTTCCCACATTACTTCCATTGCTGTGAAGAAAAGAAAGCAGGTGCTCATATTGCATTCCTACGTGATTTTATTACCATATTTCTATTGTCTGGGCTCTATCAGAAAGATGGTGAGGAGGTTATTAAGGTTCAGCAAGTAATGTAGTGAACTTTTCAAGTGTCCAAAAGACAAAGTGGACTGGAATATGGGGAGCCAAGCACAGGGAATCCAACACAGATTCCTCCATATCACCAGTTAAAGCCTTTGTACACTGACATACTGGGCCTCCGTTGTGTTGCATGAACCCAGCAAGCATGGAGGTTGGACAGCCCTTGTGTTACTTTAAGACAGTCCACAGTTGTTTAACTCACACATAATCCATGCTCATCAGGCTCATATAACATGACAGCTCTCAAGCAGACACAGGACATACAACTTGGCACCTGCAGGCACAATCACTCACTGTGGGATAAACAACCTCTTGATAAGTCATGGCATGCCATTCAAACCTAAGTCACTGTCACTTACCATGGATTGCTAATATAGACAACTGATTTACCAAGAAGTGAACGACTTATAGGTTAAATCATCTGGAGGACCACAACTCCCATTCTCTTTCACCACTGAATATGCTGGCTATGGATTGTGAGAAGTGCTGCCAAAATACCAGGAGGGCTAGAATCTGTGACAGGAAAAGAATGCAGCCACACACTTGTCAGTACAGATGACTGAGCAAATCCATGATGGAAAACTCTTGCTAATGCAGGACTTGATTGCCTATACTGGGCCAATTTCTTCTAAAGTAGCATCTATCACGCCACACTTTGGATCTGTTGCCAGGGGATTTGTTTGTACATTAAAACGAGTCTTACATTGCCATTCTGAGGATTGTGAGTCGAGTAATTAAAAAACCCCACAAGTAAGTTTCAGACTGATAAGGAATGTCCCTGTCTAGGTGCAGGTTTGAATGCATCTACGACAGCATAACCCAAAAGAGATATTTCACTCATGCGCACACATGCGCATGTGTGCGCACACACACAGG